GGATTGGAGGTCCTCCTTTGGAGGGCAATCACGAAAACGGAGGCCCAGGACTGAGAAAGCAACGCATACGCAACCGCGCCTAAAAGGCTTTGAAACATGCCGTGAACTTCTTGGCTACATACTGCGTGGCTTTCTCTGCCTGTTAGCTCAGGGTGACGGATGGGCTTCATAGCATCAATGTATTCGTTCTGATCTAGCTGCACAGAACCGTCCAACAGCCTGGTGTGTCTTAATCCACAATTAGTAAACTCATTCTCATTTAGCGTCAGCTTGCCGAACTCAACCTGCAATTGCTGGATTAAATTGTCTACTTCGTGGGGCTCACCGGCTACCTTGAGGTCATCCACATGTTTTGCTACCAGAAGCACCAGCTCCCCATCAATATGTTTGAGCTCAAGCTCAGAATCAAACATGGACGGTTTGAGCTGTACTTTGGGGGATCTGGTGCATTTGGCCAGCTTGAGGCTGAAAGCTCGCGGGGCATCTTTACAACCCGTTCCTGGCTTGACACATTTCAACACCTCTCGGCGTTCGTCAAAGTCATGATACCCCTCAAGCTTTCTCAAGTGGACTGCTGCTTCTGGAGGAAGCGTGAAATGGACTTCGCGCTCTGCCTCCCCGGTGAGGTCGTGTATCTCTTTGTACGTCATTCCCTGTAGAAATGCTTTATTTACGTCGAGAGACACGAACTTCCAGTGAGGCCTGCACGCAAGTTCTGAACATAAGATCCGCTGCGACTGTCGCGATGCTGTGGCAGCGAAAGCTTCCAATTCATCGGCTTGGATATCCTTAAAGCCACGCAGCGCCAGTCGCATTCGAACGATCCTCTTAGGTTGGTTGTTTTCATCTTCAGTCTTCTTCCACTTTGCGACAAAGCGAGAGTCCATGATGTTGCTTGCTCCAGCTCTTGGTACACGCTTAAAACAGCCGTAACGGTGCCATATCTTCAGCTCTTCTAAAATGGCAGCTTGGACCTCGGCCTGACATGATTTCATTTCGGCTGGGGTAAGCAAGTCACTTTCTCTCTTAATAACTGTGTTGCGGAAACCGGAGGCAAAGATTTGCATCACTCGAGTCTCCTCTGGTCCCAATTCGTCTTTGTCGCCAATGACGTTTGAAAAATCTCTACAGTAGCGAACCAAAGTTCCACACAACTGTTGCCTGCTTCATCTACCTGATTCGGCCTGCCATACAGTTCAGGGTTTACCCCAGAGCTTGAGTAGTGACTTAGGGGATCAAAGCTGGGTTCTACGACATCAGGGGCCGGGTGGACATGAAACAGATCACAGTCGAAAATGTCTTCGGTGGCTTCTAACGACTCATGGTTAAAGAACACCTCCCGTACTGCTGCACACTCTTCAGCCGGCAAGTTCAGACCAGCTACATAGCCCCGCCATTCTTCGTCTTCCTCAGCTATGGTTGAGAGTGTCCCAGCAGGGGTGTTGATCTCGGGCTCAGCCTCAGCATCGCTCTCGGGCAAATAGTCGCCACAGAGAGATTCATGCGTGAGATCGGCTGTGCCTTCGCACGCGTCTGCAAGTGTGATGTCGTGCCCTGTGCAGTGAATGGCTTGAACAACCTTCGCGAACTTGTAGTCTACGCCTATAAGCTCTGCTAGGTCTACTCTTGAATGATCCACCACACCGAACATGACATCTGAGTCAGCGTTGTTAAACCACCAAAACACTGTGCTGTGGCTGGCACCTGGCACCGCTGCTAGCGTCTTTGCCCCGCGCGCGAGCCGTACAGACATGACCTCCTCGAGCCTCCAGCAATTAAGCACGAGATGGTCCAATGCTTGCAACACGTAGGGTCGGCGCCGCGCTTGTTCACTCAAGCTGTGCCCGCCCTTTTTGTTTGTTGCAAATCCATACAACGCAGACTGGCCAGGATGCATTTGACTCAGGGCTCCTTCCAAGATCTGCATGCATTCATGCCAACTCGAAGTCTGTTGTTCTGTCATGAGGCACAACAAAGCATGTCTGACGTCTTGGGACCGGTAAGTGCGATCAAACCCCTTTATTCTAACCACCACCTGACCTGGCTCAGAACGCACTACACGGTACGGTCCAACCCATCCGCTGGCATCCTTGCTGGCGGGCTTGCGGTAGACATCACATAAGTCATCACGCTTGAAGTCGCGGCTATCTTGTCCTGTTCGAGAGTGCGCGGCTCGGTTTAGCCTTGCCGCCGCAGTAGCCGATATCATAGCCGATAGTGCTGTTTGGCGGAGGAGCTCTCGCTGTCTGTCCCCTTCGGAGGACATTTCGTCACGCGCGACAAGGTCTGGAGTTTCAAGCGGTGGCAGCATCCACGGCTGACGCCCGTACACAGCCTGGTAGGGTGTAGAACCGCCAACATGTGTCAGGGAGTTGCCGGCAAACACTGCTTCTGCCAGCAGTGCCGGGAATGTGTAAACAATCCCTTCTCTTTCCAGCTGTTCCTCCATCGTGTGCATCTGTGCTCTCAGCACTGCGCCACGACGTTCAATGTACCTGGCATGTTGCTGAGGGGCTCGCAGCTTGAAGTCACAACCCAGCCTTTTGACCCTGTCAGCAATGTCGGGCCGCCACATCCCGCTTTCTCCATCCATGTACAGGATCTCGGGAGGGCCGAACTGCCCTACCCAGCACGTTGTGAAAGCTTCGAACAGCACTTCCCCTTCTTTTGCACTCACCACGGTGGCGGCGTGCCAACGTGTGGCTCGGCATATGCAATGGAAGGTTATGAACTGGCGGTAAAACAGCAAATCACATTCTACGTGCTGGTTAAACTTCAAGCTTGCCGTCATGGCATGCTGTGTGGCTGGTCCGGGGCGTTGCCACTTCCGACACTCCATACATGTTTGAAGTACCTGAGGGACAAGCTCGATCACCCTATTGCTTACGCCTGCGTGCTTGAGGATCTGCGTCATTGCCTCTCTTGAGGCATGCCAGAAACGCAAATGCAGTTTGCGCAGTTCCGTAATCACGGCACGATCGTTACCCACTCTCAAGACTCTCAGTGAGCGACTGATGTCAAAGCGGCTCCAGTCTGAAGCATGCGGCGTGCCAACCTGAGCATCTTGTGGTCTCCTCTCTTCTCGTTGGGCACGAACGCGTAGGTCTCCATCACTCGCACTCGCGGGTTCGGGAGGTGCTTGGGCTTCGGCGTCAGCATCTGCACTCGCAGCTGCTGGGGCGGATGATGACGAAGGCTCATCGCCCTCAGGCTGGCCAACGGCTTCACGAGCACTTGCAGCGGCGGCAGCCTCCTCCGCAGCTCCCAGATCCGAGCCGTCGGGCAGCTGCGCTTGGCGATCTTGCGCCACACTTGCCGAAGCTCGCCTAGCGGGTTGGCGCGGATGGTGCCCAGATCTCCGGGCTCCCAGTCTCTGCTCAATGAGTGGCAATCGGCAGTCTGGTCCACGTGTGTGAGTAGGGTGATCAATCGGCCGGTGGGACTTGCATCCGGGGCACTCAAACACGTACGGTTCATCATCAGGGAACCTGCACTGACCACGCACTCGGGAGTGTCGCGGGTCATATCTTGCTTGTCTGCCCCGGCAGCCTGGACACAGACGCCATGGCTCTGCTTCAGAGCGGGGGATTTCTGCAGCTGCATCCGATTCTCCAGTGCCCGACCCTACTGAGGGGTACAGCTTCATTTTCAAGCTTGGTTGCGACGGTCGGAATGTTGCTAAAGCGGTTGCTGCTTGGGCGCGACAGAGTCCATCGCTGATTGCACGCTTCATCTCTGCAGGCCAAGAGGCGCTGCTGTCAGCTACACTAACGAAAATGGGAGCATAGACAAGGAGTGCGCCATGATTTGCCATCAATCGGCGATATGGGCGCTCATCACAAAGGTGAACCTGGTGCCACTGTGTTGCAAGAGCTGTCGTCATATGCCGCCAGGCTTCAGGGCTGACGTCGCACATCTGCTCCGCGAGAAAATGCCTGCCGTCCTCGCTTTGTCGTTTTGCTACATATCCACAGAAATCCATAAACGTTTGACAGTCCATGGAAGGAGCATTAGAAGGAGTGAGCACCAAGAAGGCAGGCTTACACTCACGCACATATGTCGCAATGATCTGGAGATCAAGCCTGTTGGTGACACATGCTTGTGTGGTCAAGTCGAACATGTCACCAGAGTGGAAAGTCCTGCGCACTGAAAAGTTGGCCGTGTCGTTAGAACCCCCACTCAACTCAAGGACTTCGGAGGTGCCGGGAGGTAAAGTACTCAAGGTGCTGAACGCAGCGGCAACGTTAGGCGCAATATAACATGATTCAGCTTGCTGTCTTAAATCGGAGCCTCCGGAGCATCCCTGTAGCCAACTCGACGGTAAATCGGCTGCATGCGTGTGCAACGCAGCGTGCATGGGGTCGGGTTTATGTGGCTCAGGTAAGAATTTAATGAGGCTTTGAAGACTGCTGCCGCAGTCATCGTGATGATCCTCTACATGTTGGCGCCGTTCCATCGGCTTTTGCCCCTGTTCCTTCAATTCCTTAAGACGCTGCTTCTGTCTCAGGCGTGCCTCAGTGGGGAAGCACTGCATGGAAGCAGCTGCTGGCTGTTGTTGCGATGACGTAGTGGCCGTGAGTGGCTGTTGTTGGGTGGAACTAGAAGAAGTGGACTCCTGACCCGAGGTCGGGTGGGAATCTGGGGCTTCAGCCCGTCTCACTTCCAAATGGTCTTTGAA